CGATGGCTGAGAGAAGAGTAGATTTCCCACTTCCCACTGGTCCAGTAATAACTGTCAAGCTTTTTGATTCTGTTCCAAGGTCGATATTTTCTAAGATGTATTCCTCTTCTCGACCGACTTGCATGCATGTCAAATTCGACACACACAAATCTATTGCCATGCCCCGCTCATCCTTTGCGTCGTCAAAGTGATTTACTTCGACTCTTTCCTCGTAATCCGTCAATCCGCTTTTTAACTCTTTCAAATCAGATTTACTTTTGTCAGACGTGTGATCACATGAGACTGCAGGCAAATCTTTTAAGAGGAGGAAATCTTCTATTCTAAGAAGCGATACATAAGCTTCGTATATTTGCAGCCAACCATAGGCCAAGAAACAGCAAGGATTTAGTCTTTGAGCACCAATGAAAGCGAGTAGCATGGTGACATTCACAGGTGTTAGGGTATGTCCTGTTAATAAAAAAGTCAAGACAGACACCAAGAGTGCTATAGGTCCTGAAGAGCCTTCCAAAGCGACAAGAGCTGTCAAAACCGCATTTTTCTTATTGAGGATTTTAATTTCATTCCTAAAAAACCAAATCAGACAATAAATGGCTTTTAATTCGATGAAATGCACGTGATAGTGTTCACACTAATATCGGACTCGGAGTCCTCGTTCCCTTACCCAGCTCTCGAAATAAAACAAAGCATGATTAGATATTGAAATTTAATAATAAGTTTTATATTATACGGCTCTCAGATTGAATTTGCTAATTTCGAATTTTCTTGCTTTTGAACCAAAATACAAGGCTTATCTGTTTCTGAAGAAACGGTCTGTACGGTAAAATCCTGTCCAGTTAAGAACCAACTGATCACAACGCTCAGTTCTACCTCAAGACCAACTCACCATATCTTAAATATGCATACCTTTCTTGGTTTCTGTTTGTTTGCAAATCTAAAAATTTTCAATCGGTATTAATTATATGAGCATCATATCTATATGGTATTTCGTCACTGCGCTCATTATGCCTTTACAAGACATTACGTTCGTCCCTGACTCGTAAGTACTAAGGAAACTTAAATATGAGAGGTAAGATCGTCTTTTGCTTACCTGCGTGAATATTTTATCCTTGCTCTGTATTCATTCTCGCATGTATACATTTTTATGGCGCGAATTCCAGAAATCACTTGGTTCATCAAAGAGAGGCGTAGACCCGACATTTCTGCTGTCTTCACTCGTAATACACCGTTCAAGTAGGATAACCCAGCAAAGTATACAATAAGAAGACTAAGGGAAATGAAGCCCATAAGTGCCTGCCAGCCAATAAGGTGCTGGAGTAAGAATGGCAACGCCAAAAACTCTACAGTTGAAGAAACCGTCAAAAAAACAAATTTGACAGTTTCGCCTTCCATTCGCTGAACGTCATTGGATAAAAGCTCAATTACGTGACCTGTCGTGGCTTTCAATACACCGTGTTTACTGAGAAGTAGCATCTACGAAAAAATATTAGGGAGTTAACCTATTATCGAAATATCTTTGTCTTTGTCGTCACTATTAAACCATGTACAGGACGGAAGAAAAGGGGCGCAATATTTCCTCCCTCCATGGGGCAAATATATTATGACAAGCCAGCCTCAATTTCCGTATGATTAAAGTCGGCGATAATTTTGGAGCCTATCCTCCTAGCGTCAAGAGGAGAGACGAAAGACACAGGAAATGGTAGTACCACTGAGAAATACTGGTTTGAGGACATGTGATATATCAGAAGGTACGTTTCCGGTCTGTCTTCAAATTTTTCCGATCTGTCAGTTGTTTTTGTTGATCTTTCTGTGTAAAATGAATTTTCACATCAACGCTCAAATTTGCTTCAGAATGAAATTTAACGTAGTTGAGTGTCGCCGTGGAGACGGGTTTTACAGCTGATGTCCTTCCACATACATAATATTGGCTCACCAACCATCCATTCAATTCAATTGCAACAAGCTAAAAACAGCACTGCAGTCTACCATGCCTTTTTTTTTTGAAGACTGGACCGCTTTTTCGTGAATTTAGGAACTATTTTAGTATGTTAATGTGAAGCAAGGCAAGGCACGTTCATGCAAAGCCAAGATTAAGTTGCCCTCACCCGGTTGTTTTAATTTAACCCTAGCAATTCCCTTTGGCGTTCAATCGGCTGCGTCAACTTAGCGGTAGTTTCTATAAGGATACTCAGAGACTATCCATTTACTTACCTTATGGTAAATTAGACCTTTTAGGGCGCAACTCACTCTGATTCCCGTCAACTCGCCTCTATAACAAACGTGATGATGTCCCATAGCTTGAAACAAACTGGTAATGAACATGGCCAGAGCCGAGAGATAAGCAAGATTGTTCTGTGCTTGAGATGAAAGTAGTGCGGAAATAAGATATGTTATCAGCAGAATAAGAGAAATCTTAGACACTGAGTACATAGCACCCGACAATGAAAAGATAATAATATCCTTGACGGAGAGCATCTTCAGAACGCTTTTCCAAAGTCTTGGTTTTTTTCCGTTTTCTCTGCACTTGGTTTTCTCTTTGCTCCAGTTTGATTGAAGTTTTTCGGTCGCAGCACGAGTTGTGTTTTCAGTGGAAAGAGGTACAAAGTCACTCTCCTGTAAGGCCCGTTTACTGCCAGTTTTAAAGGTGCTGTCCATCCAGCTAAAAAGAAGATAAGAGAAGAAGCCTTGTTTCGGACTTTGGTCAGCGCTTGAAATTTTTTGGTATTCATTCCTTGCCATGTCTGTGTCTGAAATTTGCAAACTGACGAAGAAAAAACATCCATTGAACTAATATACGATGAAGATAAACGACTGCACTATTTCACCTTCTAGCTAATGGAAACCCTTTTATTGGTGGCCCAAATCGTCGTTAGATCATCATAAATAATCTTTTAGGGTAATAATTTTTTTCACATATGGGAATGATATACTTAGTGCTGGTAAAATGGCGACAGGGATCGTCTACTTTCAAACTGGAATTATCCGTGTGTCGCTATGTCGAATGGTATAACGTGTTACTGTTGCCAGCATTCAGATCTACATGATCCCTTGGGAATCATCCAAACAAGCTAATTATTATAGTGGCAAAAGGGGTTAAGTTTCTATAGAAACTGTGGTGCTGCGTCGGCAGGGGAATATAGCAAGTTAATTTTGGTTTTATGAACTGAGTTGTTAATGTCAATTGGCCACCGAGAGTTTGAAAGCTGATGTTTCGAGCGTTAGCCCTTTGTCACCCATAAAGATGGCAACCGAATAACTTGGCGCCTTCGTGGAATTCAGACATCGATTTTGCTTGTATTTGTCTATAATACTTATAAATTTCGGTTCTTTCAAACTAATCTTCATGATACACGACATTTTATCACTTTAAAGGCGACTTGTTTTACCATGGGAGGTCTCTACCCTTTTGTCAAGTTGACTATCTGTGCTAGCTCACGAGACTAATGAAACTATTTTCATGTAAGCCATAACACCGGTGTGAAATTTGTTAATGTAATCAACTTATGTCTGTGATTATTGCGTCAAAGGCCCTTTGATTCATCGAATCCTCCAAAACTAATGAGGCACATCGTCCATGTAAGATAGGATTTTACGACTTAATCGCGTTGTATTTCACCCTTGTGTATATCAGCAGCCCTTTTTCAAGAATGGGATGAATTTCATTACCAAGCTCAAAATTTACCATCTCTCTTGTTTCTAGCTATAAACATTACGCATGGACATTGCTGATCCTAGCAGTATGCAGGGCGTGTATCATATAAACTTCGTGCAGTCTCTGTGGCTCAGTGGTAGAGCATCGGAGTGTGAAATCCGAGGGCCGGAGGTTCGTTTCATCATGGGGACTCAGAATTTTTTCTTTGTCCCACGCTCATGACAAGACAGAAAACATCTTTCTTTAGAAAAAAAAACGTTTCTGTTTTAGAAATCCTGGCAACTCAAAAAGCGTTAAGAACAAGGCAAATATACTGACCTCAATTTGGATATTATATTCTCGAGTGCTTTATTTCATTGTTTGTTTAATTTCATTCGTGAATAGAGAAGCCTGCCGCTGCAGAAAAATACGTTTCTGTCTTAGAAATCTTCTCACCTTAAAAAGCGTAAAGAACAATGCAAATATACTGACCTCAACTTTATATTCTCGAATGCTTCATTTCACTGTTTGTTTAACTTCATTCGTGAACAGAGAAGCCCGCCGCTGCAGCCACGATCAAAACCAGCTTAGTTTTCGACGAGTTCTTTTCACATTTGTACTCTTTACACTGTTAATACAATTTTTCATGAAAATTCTGAAGGAAACCGCAGAAGGGCTGATAATAAAGCCAACTATTTCATGTACGTGTTCCCGCGCAGTTCACCGTAAATCGGTTTTGAGACTATATTCAAATTATGGCTCGCTTTGCATATCATATCACGCAAAAGTTCGCGGCTGTAGTTGGTACATAGGTTGGG